TGCCACAAGGTCCTTGTCGCATTAAATCTCACTGTTTGAAAGCCAAGCACTTACCTAAGGGCGCATTGAAGGCAGGTGTTATGCCGAAAAAGGCATCCCTGCCGTAGAATGCATGCCTGTCTCTAAATGACCGATTGGTCGCTGTTCTGAAACGAGTTGAGCTACTTTGTCGAGTAAGGCTACCGTAGTGCTAACCAATAGCCCCAAAAAACCCGTAAAACTCTAACCTTAACCCCCCAAAAACCTCTAAAACCCTAACCCCCAAAACCCTAACCCTAACCCCTAAAAAACCCCTAACCCCCAAAAAACCCTTAAAAGCTCAACTCATCAGAACACCGGCATGCGTTTTTCGGCAGGGATGCGTTTTTCGGCATTAACACCTGTTGTGGCAGTGCAGGGCTGACATTCAGTGCACTCAGAAATTTACATTTAAAATATGTGCTGTGCTCATACCAAAACAAATAATATTTATATAATTATAATATTTGCTCTCATATCAATAAGCAAATGATTTACAGGAGCGTTTTCAACCATAAGAAATGACCGGCTTCTTGCAGAGACTGACCCTGAAGGCTTTTCTCCCGAATGGAAAATAATAGCATTGTGGGCAATTTATTACCCGCCTCCATTATGGAAATGGGAGCTCATTTTTATTCAGTCATGGTAGCGTGTCCTGACCCAGTCAATGCTCCCACACTCCCACAGGGCGGCCAACTTTGGTCAGCTGCCTGACGTGAGACTTTCAATTTCAGACAAGTCTGAACTCGCATTTACATGTATGTAAGAGTTTTTTTTACCTTCTAAATAGTCTGTATGGTTTGCAAACTACCCCGATGCTTTTGATGTAGCTAATTCTAGGTTTATAATGGAAGAATAGTTTTGCCGTAAGACTGCTTGCATGAGCGTGAGAATTGGAATGCATGAGTGTCACGCCAGATGCGCGAGAGTTGGCAGCCCTGCTCTCACTTCCAGACAAAGCACTAATACGGGGCTCTGCAAATCCAGACCTTGTCTTCAATTCTCCCAGGTAGTTAGATCAATAATTACTGATTCTGATTGGCCAGAGGGTTCACACCTGGCTCACAGGTAAAGGAATGCTGGAAAACCAGCAGGGCTCGTACCTTGATTTGAATAGCTCTGCACTAATATATAATTTTTCCCCGGCACAAAGCAGGTACCCCTGCAGTAAAACATGTGGTTTCCTCTCACATGCAGGCTTTGATCACCATCAGCCTCCAGAAAAAGGTCAGTTAAGTGCCAAAGATTCACTACATCTCACTCCCACAACTGGCACGAGTGTCCCAGGAAAACAAAGTACTTTATCAACTATCAAATAAAAACACACTCTTAGATATTGTGTAATTTGAAGCTGGCTTGCACAGCGAAACTGGTAGTCATATTACCCATAATGTACATAATAAGTGTGTAGGAGTTAATAGTATAAAGAAATAATTGCAGTATCAGTATTTACATCAGGGCAGAAACTGAAACATTGATCCAAACAAACAGTAAATACCTATCAATGCAGTAGAAATGCACCAATCCTTCAGGGTAACACTTTCTTTGTTTATTCTAAGCTACTATTCTGTCAGATACATTTTAGCTCCAGCAGGGGCGTCAGAGGGGCATGGATACCCTGATAGATTCAATACGAAAAAATAATAATTTATACCCAGCCCTTGTATCTCGCAACACTAGCGGGGGCCCCAGAATTTCTAGCTAAGTCCATGGCCTCCGGACACCCCCTTCACGGACCTGTTCTCAAGATCATCTATTACTGCCCTCTAGTGGTATAATACCCATGATTTTTGTTTTTTTCCCGTTGACACGAATTTCATTGGTATGGATGACCCAGTATGCAACACTGTCACTTCGTACCGACAGTGTTAAGGATTCGAATCCCACCCCTGCTCTCTGTGCAGGTTCTTCGTGTTGTGCAGTTTTTCCTCTTGTAGAATATGGTTTAAATGTTATAGTAACACATTACGTACAAATTCAATTATAATACGCACTCGACAATAAACTGTAACGATGCTGTTATACAGGCATTAGCAATTATGTAGCTCTAGGTAATGTTTAGGGCTCAGCACGGATATAAGCCGACTTCGATATTTTGGTTAGTTACTTCTTAATGTCGGTATCAGATAATGTCTATAATTGTTATCTACGGAGATGATCATATTGATTTCTGGGCTTCTGCTGACGTTGTATTCATGCCCGTGAATATGTTTCACTCCAGGGGTAGCCACGTGACACTCCCCTCGCAGCAGGACATTACTCACCTTGCAATGGCAGCCTGCATCCACAGGAGGTCACCATTTCCTCCATTTAAAGTGTATTTTAGCGTACGACGCTCATGTGTGTCTTGACATGACAAATAATTTAGCAAAACTGTCTGCCTGGCAAAACTTCTGGTGAACACAAAATTAATAAAATGAATACAAATATTATTAAACCATACACCTGGAGGGAGTAAAATCCATTAAAAGCAAAAGTATAAGAAAATAATAATAAAAAATCAGATATAAAACACTTAAACAAAAGTCAAAACTGTGGTTTTATTTGTTTGTACATTCTGCATAAGGCGTATTTTATTTTTGAATGTTTAAAAAGTTGTAAATAAAAGGGGAACGACCAAATTTATCATTAGACAAAAACAGAAAAAGGGAAAACATGAGTTTTAAATAACAGGGGGAAATAAAACAGAATTTTAGTTAAATGTTTCTTTTAATGACTTCAGGGATTAAGTAAAATAAATATGTACTGGAGTGTAAAACAAACACAAAGCTTTTTATAAAAAGAAAACAATGTACACACTGTTTGGGTCTAAACCGTCAAACTGAAGACGGCTGTTTGGAAGTTTGTGGCTGATGTTACAGCAGCACCCGCATGGAAGTGGCAGCTCTTTGCGTACGACATCGCATAAAAAAATAAAAACGAAGTGCAAACGTAAATTAAGAGAGTACTTTGAGCGCCCAGACGGCCCACAGACCTTCTCCTCCTGCCGATTTTTAAAAATGCATAAGCAATAAATCCTAAACGAGGACCATGTGAATGATGGTAACCCCATGACACACCAGCAGATGAATGTGTGGGTGTCTGTGCATTGCTTGAGGGGCTAAAAGTGTGCGTGACCCACAGGAGCGTGACCCTGCATCTTGCTAGGCTTTGGTTTGGACAAGCGGGTCTCAGGGGGGGGGGGGGGGGCGTCGGCAGGAGGGTGGAAGCCGGGCTCACGGGGTCCCACATACTCTCAGATGGCACTCGGATTAAGACTCGTAACACTACGGAGCATGTGGACCACTGAGTGGCTGGGATAGTTTCACATTTGTCAGCGCTGCGTCTGGCCGGAGCGTCACCGTTCGTAGTGTGAGCTCTACAGATAAAGACTGTTACTGCAGAGGATGACCGACGTGGAGCCTGAGTGAGCTGGGAATGTGGCCGATGTGACTCCCGGTAACCCGTAACAATCACACACTAATGCTGACATCACACACATTGTAAATCAGTTGGCATGAATACTGACGTTGTCATGAAAACGTTGGTCATTCCTTCATCCCTTGTCGATTTCCATCGCAAGTAGCATGGTGCAAGTTTAAAGCTTCTGGTTACTCTTTTTCCATCAAAGGGGGGGGCGTGGATGGGGCGGGGGGGGGGCATTCACGGCAAGCGAGGTGAGAGCAGTAAGGACAGGTGGCCAGGCGGCAGACTTTCACATATTGTTTAATTCCATTAGAGTCTGATCCAGCATCTGGTGCATATCCAGGTTTTCTTCTTTAGCGTGAGCGAGTTTCTCTGCCAGAACAGCAAATGAGAGCATTAAAGACCATGACAATCTGACCGTGACATGACCGTACACGACTGACATGACCGTACACGACCGTGACATGACCGTTCACATGCGGCGGCAGGCTTCAGGTTAATTACACAGTCGGCCCTGCCTTCCAACTGACAGGTTGTCACGGGAGGAACAGGACTCCAAAACAGTGGGTGGGAACACTGAGTCATCAGCGATCAGCCATCTTATTGGTCACTTCTTATTGGTGATGACCCAATGGGCTTAAACCAGGCACTGACTGACAGCACGCAGTTATTCCAAGGGGCGTGGCTATAGGTAGGACCCAAGCGAATTGCCTGCCCACCCAACAGAAACTTAACCAATAATTTGTGATTTAACTTAATTGTCTCAGGACACCCATAAGGGCTCATGGACCCCCCATAAGAGAGAATATATAATTCAGAGCCACAACCCCCCCCCGGAAAAACTGTTAGCTTCCCTCATTATTTCCTTTGTAGAAGTGGCTCTCATTGTAAATAAGGTGGCAGATCCTATGCTACATTTACGCAAAGCAGGGTGCCCACCGAACACACCCAAATGCCCAGCCTGGGGTGGCATCCCGCCAGCTGGTAAATAATCATAGTCGGGGTTCCTCCCATCACCACTGACGCAAGCACGGTCATGTGACGCTCGCCGAACAGAACGTTCAGCTTTTGCAAAACACGCATGCACAATGAGTGGGATATGAACAGGAACATTCATTTACGGTTAGAAGGGTCACTTGCGGCACATTCACTAACAAAGATCCAGAGACCATGAGCACATATATCAAGAATACAGCTGCAATTATGTTCTGGACATGCAGGACTAACATACAGGACGTACAATATTCCATAATAGATACATATATTTTAATTCATATGTATATTTTAATTAGATGTCTGCTCTGGAAACACAGAAGACAGACATAATCCCTGAATTCCTCTTCCCAGTCTGACACCCCTTGCTACACTGTAAGATTTATATGTAGGAGGTCAGCAAACCCTAACATCCTGCAGCTGCCATCATTCATCATTACAAGGAAGCACATGATAAATGCAACAAGCTTCATCTCACGAGACGGAAACATCCAGAAAACATTTCTAATCCTCATTGAGGGCCAGTCTCAGCTCATTAGTGAGAAGACGGTTTTTCTCGAGTTGCTGGTAGAGGCGGTCTGGACCGTCAGAAAGCAGTTTAACAAGAAAAGAGAGAGAGAAAAAGAGAGAGAGAGCAGAGGGGTGTTAGCAACGGTTATTAGAAACGTCTGGTTAGTGGGATTTTATCACAGTGCAAGTCAGCGACCTGTATTCCTGTGAAAACAAAGTGGTTATCACTGAGACTGCCACACGTCAATGACCGAGCATGTCTGGAGACAGGGGGTCTATGTTTCCGAACGGACGGGCTAACAATACGGCGGAGAGGGCAAAGCACACAGGTCAATAAAGACTCCCTCCAATAGGATCGCTGAACTGTGAAGGGACCGGCTGGGGAGAGCAGAACGGCCTAAACGCATCATCATTAAAGGCTCATCTCGCACTGAGGAGGTGCTCACTTAGGCATCTAGGGAAGAAAACATATTTGTAAAGCTCACTGATTTATGGGGAAAGCCGTAAATCTACCTGGCTGACAGTCAAATCAATCTATTTACTCATCCGTGAGGAGAAATCACTCCCAAAGCTGGTTTATTAAGACATCTCCTGTAGATGTTGTCCATCCACATTCAGCAGGCAGCTCTATGTCCAGCCATGTCCCTGAATCTGCAGTAGGGCCCAGAGCCCCTGATGTAACTGCCAGCTACCCTCAATGAATAATTCTTGAACCAGCTCTCTCTCCCGACAGGAGTGAGGCTGGAATTCTCTGTGTTGAACACTCTGTGGCTGCGACTCTTTATACTCAATTGGATGGCTGAGACAGAATCTTGATCTGGATTTTTACTTTCTGGACCGGAACCATCCATGTTCACACAGCACACAGACTCTTGGTTGGTGGGGGGGGGGGGGTTGCATACAGCACATAATCACAAGTGTGTGTGTATAAGCAAATCCATGACACTGAAATGCAGAAATGTGTAGATGCAACAATCACGGTTCATATTATAAATGCAGTTCTGGTAAGCAAGAGTCAGCTGGAGACAGACAGCTGGAGAGTGTTTCGGAATTGGCGAATACAAATTAAATTTTAAAAGCAACAAGCTCACGGGAGTGACCTCTCAGGAATGAAGGGAGGAATGAAACAGGACAGACAGGGAGAGGCACTTGGCTATCAAGGAGTCAACTAGGCATGAATGCAGCTTTGCTGCGCTTCCAGTGAATGCCCAGGTAGAAGCCAGAGCAGAATCACAGTAGGAGCTACACAAGATCCACCAACAAAGCAAGGACCTAATACTACTAATATTCACATCATCAGAAAGTGCAACACTAAGAGCATTCAGGCTAGTAGAGGGAGAACAACTGCACCCAGTGTCAATACACCAAAGTCTTACTCTTACAATGGAAAAGAGTGTTATGCAGGGGACAACATGCAGGGGGCGGTATGCAGGGTCAAGCTGGTATCAAAACACGGGAAGAAGCAGGAAGGGGGTCAAACACACAATCAGACACAGTGATCTGCAGCAGAGGTCCGCCGCTGACTTCGGAGCAGAGCGACAATGGGGTGAAGGTGAGGATGGGTGAGCAGACGCAGTGGGCGAGGAGGGTCACATGGCGCTCATGTCGCTGAGCGCGTGGTCCAGCTCCTCGCTGACGCTCCTGTACTTCACTCTCTGTCTATGCAGCTCATCTTACAGAAAATTATGGGATGGCAAAGAGAGCACGAGTGGCGGGGGAGACAGAGAGTGGAGAGATGAAGAGGTCACATTCAGCAGGGGACATGCAAAGAGCGACAGGTAAGAGCGGCAGATTCCACAGGCACGTCATGGACGACTACAACTAGGCTCAAATTAAGGACCCCCGGAGGATGTAAACTGCATACATCATTACATCCACACTGTAAATGGAACAGTGGGCCCATGCAGCCTGGGTTACCGGCTTACTATGTGCCCTCAGCTGTAAAATACAGTGCGCTGGCATTAACTCTCCTTCCCAAGTAGCACAGAAATGCGCTAAACTGCTACAGCTCAGGTAGAAAACTGCTACCGCTGCTGCTACGTGCTGATCTGGAATCAGCGTGACGACATGTAGACCCCAGGAAGCAAAACACATTCCCAGGGTTGTTAGCAGCTTGCAGTGACTCCTGCGGTCACATGACAATCAGCCTTCCAAGTATGAAATACACTCCTGCCTTATTCACAACACCAGCTGAAATTCATTTATTTTGTTTGGTCAGCATCTGTCCAGGAAGGCTACTCTCCAGAAGGCACATGAGAGACGCGGCATGTGTGTGTAATTCAGTGTTAATCTAAAACAAGGGTCATACCTTCAAGGTCGTCGATGGCCGTCTCCAGCTTGGTGACTGATCTCTCGGCAAACTCGGCACGGGTTTCAGCCTGAAGGGTAAAGCGGCTGTAACTTTAGGGAGGATTCAAATGGCCAAAACAACACCCAACATGAGCATGCAGACGGACAGGCAGACGGACAGGCGGTGACTAAGAGGCAGACAGCAAGAGACAGAGAGACAGACAGATGGACGGACGACGAGAGACACAGGCACAAACGGACAGACAGATGGACAGGCAGACAGAAAGGCGGAGACAGAAACATACAGTGAGACAGAGACAGACAGGTGGATGAACAGAGTAAGATAGACAGATGGAGACAGTCAGACAGAAACAGAGACAGACAGCGAGAAACAGACAGACAGAGAGATACAAAGATGGGCAGAAAGACAGAGATGGACAGAGAAAGTGAGAGTCAAAGAAAGAGAGAGAAAGAGACAGATGAACAGAGAGCAGGACAGAGAAACAGAGAGAGAAAGACAGAGAAAGATGGAGAGAGAGAGACAGAGACTTAGTGAGACAGATGGATAGAGAGACAGAAAGACAGAGAGAGAGACAGAGTGCCATGCAGCACCCTTAGGGGGGACAACTTGCCTCTTTCAGCTTGTCAGCGAGGACCTTTATCTCCTCCTCGAACTTATCCTCCTGGTTCGAGTACTATGGATGGAGAGCAGGACCTGTCAGCTCGTCCAACGCCCCCCCCACACCTGCGGTACATCCTCACCTCCCCATCACTGCTAATCTGTTGTTAATCTGTCGCTAATCTGCTACAGACCTTCCGATAATCGGCCATTAATCTGCCGACAACCTGCTGATAATCTGCTGCTAACTACTAGCGGTTTAAATGATCTGCACACCCCTGCTGCAGCAACATCCATTAATACTCTCAAGAAACTGAGCAGCTCCACCATCCCGGACCAGCCCTTGAACCCGATGCCCGCCTACCTTCTCAGACTGGGCCTCCAGTGACTTCAGGTTGTTGGTCACCGTTTTCAATTCCTCCTCAAGCTCAACACATTTGCTGGCATTTAGGCGTAATCAGAGAGCAGAGGGCCAGGATGGGGGGCAACAGGATAAAAAGGAGGGGGGGGGGTTCAGAGAGAGCGCACACATTAGGGGGGGCGCAGTGGGGCAGGGACAAAACCAGAGTAAACACAGACGGAGAACACAAAGTAAATGGAGGCACGGCAAGCGGGGGGGAAGCACTCGGGGGTGTAACACAGCAGGGAGGCCCGTGACCGCGTGCAGGCAGGCGCTTCCGGAAGCTTCCGCAGACTCAGCACCGGACACAGGCCCTGCTGGGTTAGGGCACACGCACTGAGAGCTGAGCGTCGATGGCCATAAAGTCTAAAGGGGGGGTGTTAGAAAAAGAGGGACGGGAGGCGAGTGGCGAAGGACAAAAACGCAAGTGGCAGGAGACGGAGAGGCGGCAAGAGGCATTAGTGTGACAGGGGCCGCGCCGGGCAGGGTGGGGGGTGGGGGGGCCGCGCCGGGCAGGGTGTGGGGGGGCCGCGCCGGGCAGGGTGGGGGGTGGGGGGGCCGCGCCGGGCAGGGTGGGGGGTGGGGCGTCCGGCCGTAGTACCTTGATGTTTGAGGCCTTTAAGGATTTAACCTTTTGGTCCTTAAGCCTCTGCTCATCCTCCGCCTTCCGCACGCGTCTGTTAGTGAGTGTGACAAACAGGTGACTCGCCATGCAGCGTGGGGACAAGCCGCGGTGTCACAAAGCCCCTGTCACTCCACTTAGGAGAGAAATCTGGGGACAGCGTGCGTGTGAGTCGGCGTGCATGCGAGACGGCAGCATGCAGCCCGATCCTGGGGCTCCCTACTTCTCAGCCTGCTCTGCCCGCTCCTCTGCCCGCTCCATGTCGGACTCGATGACCACCAGCTTCCGGGCCACCTGCAGAGAGAGTGGGTCAGTACTGGCGGGTCAGCACCGCGGCCCGATTCGAACCCGAGGTCGCCACCGCCTCGGGGAACCTGCCTCTTCGTATTTGCGGTCGGCATCCTCAGCGATGTGCTTGGCCTCCTTCAGCTGCACCTCCTGCAGTTCCATCTTCTCCTCGTCCTTGTTGGCCTTGTTCTCGATGACCTTCATCCCCCTGCGGGCGGGCAGACGGGAGGTCGGCGTCAGGCTCCGCGGTGCCACCGTAAGAGGACGCCGCGGGTCACCGGCACAGAGCTGAAACCGCGACGCGCTGATGGCTTTTCTGGAGGAGGCACAGGCCTGAGCAACAATGAGGCCACACAGCCGGGATGCATCTCAGCTTCATGACTGGCCACACAGAGGCGCTGATTATACGGCACAAAAGCCGCATTATTCCAGGGAAATGCTGTTTATCCTGGGCGCCACTCCTCCCGAAACAATCCCTGCCTGTTTATTCCCAGAATGCCTCTCTCTGTTATATTCGAGCGAAAACGCCACCCTTAGCTCCTATTGGACATTCAGACAGCATAATAAACATCTACAAAACATATGATTTAATGTTACAAAATGGGGGAAAATCCTCTTGAAAACGATCAAGCTTAAAGTGGCCTATTTAAAAGTAGTCTAAGGCTAAGTTCACGCTTCCAGATGTTCAAATTCAAGTTCGCGGACAACTTACTCTTCAAAGAGCAAGTTGAGGGAGGCGTAAAAACAATTTCCCCACGGGGATCAATAAAGTATCAATTATTATTATTATTATTATTATTATTAATATTAATATTATCCGATCGTTATATATCGTTCACACTAGGCAACTTGATGTTTGTAATCAGGAATCTTTAAGTCATGGTGGTTTACACACTACAAGATCTCTCATCTGGAGGAATCGCTGACACTTCGGTCTGGTCTCCGAACTGCTTTTTGTCACAAAATCACATGCGTGAATGATGTAGGGAAATGACAATCATAGTGTCGACGCTCTTCAAACCGTTAAAACACTTAAATCAAATGACAGCACATATGCTCAACATGTACAAACGTGCAGCAAATTAACCCATGTATACATATACATTTCAGGAAAGATATATATCTGGAAAAAATTAAGAGACCAGAGCAAAATTTTCAATTTCATTCATTTCTCAATTTATGGTTATGCACCTGTGTGAAATATACATTTCTTGCAAACTCCAGCCTGGCTCTTCCCTGCCTCTCATTGATGAAGGGCTTCTTCCTTGCTTTAAAGGTCTTCAGTCCTGCTTCTAGAAGTCTGTTATGAATTGTCCTAGCAGTGCACTTCACAACACTTAATGTTTCCCATTCTTTTTGAAGGTTACTTTAGGTCAAAGTCACTTCTGCCGTCTCCCTGGCTGGTTTTTGGTCTCTCCCAGTGTCTCCTGCTTCACCTTGTTCTTGTGTACTGCTGTCTTTCTTACTTTGAGACTGGAAGCAGCCTGCCTCGCATTAAACCAGGATCTACTAAGTTTTTCCAGAGCTTTATGTATGCGAACACCAGGCCCCGGTCGAACACGCCGGCCAGCACCAGGCCCCAATCCAACAGCACAGCCCCATTCACTCCACAGACCCACCTCTCGCTCTCGTCGGCCGCCTTCTCCGCCTCCTCCAGCTTCTGCAGGGATGTGGTCAGACGCTCCTGGGCGCGGTCGAGCTCCTCCTCCACCAGCTGGATGCGTCTGTTCAAGCTGGCCACTTCCCCCTCGGCCTGGCAGACCACAGCACGGCAGGGCAGCCAGTTAGGGCCGGCACACGCAATGCACAGACTCACACACCGCTGTTAGCCTTCAGATTATTAACACCACAGGCAACCATGTGCCCAAGATCAGGAAGTTCACTGATAAACTATCATCCTTGGGCCCCTGATCAAGGTCCTTAACTCCATGACTGGTCCAGGGCAGCAGGATAAATGGCAGACCCAGCTTCCCCAAGCTTCACCTATGTCTCAAAAGGCAATAAAAAGATGAAATATGCAAAAACTAAAGAAATCTCATGTGGCTGTGTGTACAGCATGCTACACTGAACATTTTTAGCACAGTCTTTTTATTTTAATGTTTATGTTTTTTAAATTGTTCTACACACAAGTGAGGACCAGACTGTGTCCCTGTAGGAGTCAAGGGGTTTGTTCAAGGCCCCAACAGTGATATGATTACTCTGCCAGCCATGGGATTTGAACCCACAACCTTCAGGACACAGACACCGATTCCTGAGCCACTGAGCTGCACTGTACTGCATGAGACAGGCTTCATGCCCCCACGACCCTGAACAGGATATGCATTTGGTAGGTGGATGGATAAATGGATGGATATTGTTTCTGACTGTGCTGCAACACACAAGACACAGCTGCAAGTCACAGCACCACATTCAATTCAGGGCAATAAAGTGTCTACAATTTCAAAAGTGAACTGAGCTTCCATCTCACTTCAGGAACAACCAGCAGCCACAGAAACAGACAGCTTGTGAAGCGACCCAAGCACCAGCTTCCACTTCCCGTTCATGTAGTGCTGCCATAGCTTCCTCGCTAACCGCGACCATGCTCGGCCGCGACACTCAGCTCCTCATGCCCTTATAAGGTAAACTAAAAAAAGCTGAAAGCGTGTTCAGCAAGCAAATGACATTCTGGCCTTTTTACTCGGAATCCTTTGTAGACATCTGAATTTTGAGCTTTCCCTTTGACTTGGCCCACTCAAAATGCTGTCATGAAATGCACTGTACATTATAAAAGGTTGCCGACACTTTATTTTTTCCATGTACATAATACATACCAGCTCACTGAAATGAACAGAAAGCCTGTCAGTACGTTTGTTAAAAGTGTCCATTAAGTGTGTCTGAAAAACCTCTCTGTATGAGTTTAAACAATCAAGTAATTAATTATTAGAGATTAATCAGCGGGTAATTACATCAGCTTCCAAACCAGCTATTACAGTAAGTTTGGTATAATGTTTGGGTCTAATCCACATATATTCAACCAATACTCTCATTTTGGTTGTCTTAGTGCCATAATACAAAATAAAATCATTTCAGTCGGTTGTCAGCATCAGTTGTGTTTCCTGATTTCTAGAAAAGTCTTCTTCCTTTTAAATATGCAACTTCTAGCGGTCAGATCATTCGACTTTATAGCAAATGCAATGGAAATGCCGAGTACCCGAGCCGAGCCGAGCCGAGCCACACCGAATACCTCCCTTCAATAACTCATGTCTTTGCACATAAAGACATCACGCCTACCAGCTGCACATCAGGATCGAGCAACACCAACCACCCAGGACCTTGTAAGTGTTTCCGGCTTTGATCTTGATCACAGTGAGGATGCAAACATGAACACGGTACGACGAATAACGATTCTGCAGCTCATCGGTGCCCATAAGGCAGCATCATCTTACGGATTCCCTGGCTTCCCTCTCCAGCATCAACTCCCTCTGCAGGATCTTAGCCTTCTCCTCGGCGCTGTCCGCCTGATCCTGCAACGACTTTATTTTTCGCTTCACCGCTTCCAGCGACGTTAAACCCGCCATGATCCCGATACGGCGACGCTTTCGGCGATTTAACACTACCAGAAACGCCCCAGTATCTATGCTGGGGGACGGGCAAAACGGCAGCAGCGACTACGACTATACCGGAAGTTCCCCAGTCTGGTGTTTTGTGGTCTGACCATAACAGGAAATCGAGGTAACCCCGGCATCCAATCAAGAGGCAGGATCGCTACAGAAAAGCGCAAACCACGCCTCTTCATTGGCGACGCACGTTGGGGAGAACGCTGCCTTTCCGTAGGGCGCAAAACGAAGAAAGCTTGTATGTGGCCGTGTGTCCCGAAGATCGCATTTACAGCAGCGTTTTTATTGTCCGGGTGGTTCTTGGGGAAAAACATGTGAAAATTCTGATTTTATTGGCACATATCCGAGCTGTGATTTTTATACCGTTAATTCAATATATACAAAACACAATAGACATTCTTAAGCAGTGAGGGTGTCTGCAGTGAGTTCGCAACATTTAAAAAATGATGCACAAAATCTCGGGGCATAGTTCAGTGTATATTTAATACTAATTGAATAGAAACAGTATGACACAGTTGCAGTCTTGAATTACGTGTTTGCGGAACTGGCTTATATTCAGAGAAAGGTCAGAAAATAATAGGCCTAAAATTATTATGGAGGAATAAATAGTACTGATGGGAAAAGCATGCTTCTTAACCCACTGAGAATGGAATAATTTGGATGCTGTAAATCACTGGTTGACCCCATGGGAAATGGGTACAATCAGTCGGTGACTGACAGCGCATGATAATCCCACCCATGTTTCTCTCTGTGCAGTTTTCCCACCGTTATTCATCCATTCATCTATCTTCTAAATGCGTTCCTGTTTTTCTACCACTAATAAATAGGAAATTCGAGCAAAGGTGTAGTGTAGTTCCTCGGTTGAACCAGTAGGGGGGCTCTTGAACACAAAGTTTGTATACATTTTTCACAAATTAATTGGCCTATGAAAACATGCACAATTATGTCTATAGCGGAGCGATATATGGCATAATCACTATATATTCTATATATTAAAGGTTACATTTTCTCCCTAAATGACAATATATCAGAAATATCTAAAATCTGTTTTTCAGCTGTCTTTACTATTGATTATAACAGCCTGACTTTTAGCGGTTTAAGTAAATGAAGACCACATATATCTTGTTAATTCCATCAATACGGGACAACTTGTGTGAAAGTTGTCATCTGCAAGGATGATGCGGCATGTCTCATCCTCTGTATTTACGTCGGCTATTATCCTCTAAGGCAGTTCCAGTTTCTCGTGTGCATCTTTAGAGCTTCAGAGTAAACTGTCCTCTGTAATGGTCCGGGACGATCCGATGCCTCATACTGAGGCTGTGTTACGCAGAATAGGACGCGCATGCAAGGACGCGCGGCCAAAAACGGCCGTAAAGTTAGGGGGACACTCTCAGGGTCTGGCGAATTACCTTGGTGGCGACCTCATCAGCGCTCAGCAGCTTTTCCTCAGCGGCTTGGAAATCTTCAAGCGCTTTATCTCTCTCGTCTTCGGTGACACGCATTTTCTTTTCCAATTGACTTAATTCATCTTCTAACTACACATGCATACAAACGAGAGTTGGTTTACAAGTCAGACACTGAAGGGTACATTTCACGCGCAACTTTTACCTTATTTCATACAACACTCTCACGCTTCTCTTACATAAAAATCGTTTTAAACAGTAGGCTATATTCCCACAAATAAATAAACTGTTTTGCATTCAAATCCGTAACCTGTTATAAATCCACACCGGGGCGGGTGGGGGGATGGATCCGTTATACTTAGAGTGGCGTTTGGGTGCTTTTTAAAATCCCCCCTGGCATACGCATTTTAAACGCACACCTCCTTGCAGCGGTCCTCGGCCGCTTTCTTCTCTGCCTCGGCCTGCTCTGCCCTGTCCAGGGCGTTCTCCTTGTCGAGCTTCAGCATCTGCATCTTCTTCTTGATGGCATCCATGGCTGTAGGTGGCTGGCGCGGGCTCACACAGGTCTCAGAAAGCAGAAGAAAGTCTCCGGGGAGAGAGGTATACGGACGTCCGTGCGGGGTTTAACGCTGCGCTGATGTGCGGGGGAGTCCGGACGCTACCGAAATATGTGTTTTTAGAAGGGCGCATTCCTCTGGACATCCAATACTTTTATGGAAACAGCTCCTGCTGGCCTCGTGCCAACCCCCCCGACTTATTAAATAGATCTGCCGGGCGATTCGCTCTTCCCAGAAGTTTCACCAGTGATGTGACTATATATGGGATCTCCTGGGCAAGAAGACAACACCCACCAAAAGACCGGTATTTCTCACATTGCAGATGCTTAACCGCGGAAACACTTTGCACTGGGAGGATAAAAAGTCCATATATTCATAAAATGAGGCCTACATAAGTGATTTGGTTAATGTTTAGGCTACATATGTACACACGTAATATAGAACAAAACTAAATTAATCAACAAAGGCGTAATATGGATGCATTTAATGTGTAGCATACGTGTAATAAGACCACCACGCAGAACTGGATAACCAAAAACGCAAACTAGATGGATGTAAGAAATTTCTTCTTGTATTCCGCTGATAGTATATTATACAGCTTATCGGGGGCCACACGTTACGAAATTTTCCCTTGTGGGTAACATAATTATTTTACATTTGCGTGTTACATTTAGGGTCAGTTCTCAAGCACATGCTAAAATTATGTAGCAACAGTCAACATATTTTAACACGGAATTTCATACTTATTGTCTTTTACCTTAACAGAAATTTCTGAATTTGTTTTAATTTTAATGTGGATGAAACTGAAAAATAAAAATGAAATAAAACCACGAAGATGTGTAATCTCAAACAAATTAGAAAGGGGCTTTAATTGCTCAAATCACAATAAGAAACAGTACTTCATATTTTTGGGGACGCCTTGCAGAAACTGTCTTCAGTTTTCTTGGTCCCAAGTAGCTTCACTTGTTTCGTGGGAAATCATTCCTGTTCATGATTAGCTTTTCAAGGGTTAAAACTGCCCGAGATGGTTTCTAAAGTACCGGATGCTCAGAAATATTCAGGGAATGACTCTCAGCTCATTTGTTAACGGCACGTTTAATTTATTATACTTAAAAGTCATGTGCTCGGAAAGAACTTTATGAAGTGAACAAAACATCAAATACTTCTGCATTCAGGCGAGTGCATCTGGAATATAATTTTCATAAATTACTATGACTAGGTTCTGGGAAAAAAAACTGAAATTCCGAAAATTGTGCACGGGAAAATATTGTAAGAGCAACTACAGCAGATAAAATCGCAGAACAGTGCCTGTATTAGTGTATATGTATATTAGAATCACTTCGAAAGTACAAAAAAGGGAAAAAGTGACGAAATACAATATTAAACATGAAACATCCTCTTTGACAGGAGGGAGGATGCCGACCATTTTAATGAACTTTAAGGGTTTCCTGTGTTTACAGACTACCCGCGGACACTCCGGGTTCACGTTGGGAGGAGCCTTGCTTCGTCTGGAGCCTGTTTATTTGACCAGTGCTGCTCTGGGGAGAACAGTTATGGTAGTTCAGTAAAACTGAGAAAATTCCCAGGCTCCGCCAAACTCTCCGTGTCAGTGAACAAAACACGGCAGTGCTGAAGTCTTGAACCTCTTCTTTCCACCTTCATAGATAGTTGAGATGCCGGTGTTTTACATTACGGAATTTAACCTTGATAACTTGACAAGTTATGGCTTAAATGTGCAAAGTAAATGGAGGCAATGGGGCAGTTGGGGGAATTCCTGTTTAATAGCTCTGTGATCCTTAGACGACGCCTCGCAGGGACCGTCTTTACATGAGGCTGCGCATTCAAAAACACCGCAATGTAGCACTATCTGATGCAGTTCTGTCACGATGATGATGATGATGATTGATTGATTGATTGATGATGAGTTATTAACGGAGAACACAGCATTCTTCATGCAGAACAAATAGCATCAACATATAGCAACAGAACAGAAAGTGAGCGCTTTCGGCCAGTGGTTTTTCGGTGGGCGGTACCTGAAGAACCGACACCAGCACAAGCCGACTTTGCTTTGCTTTGATTCTTAGTTCTGAATCAAGTAATTAGAATATAATTGCATCAAACTCTTGCCTCTCTCGTTTATGAAATGCAATGAACCATGGTATACTTTGGAATAAAGATCATAGCACAATATTATGTGCCACAATTAGTATTTTCCATGTAATAAATTTAGTGTGGTTCAAATATTACCAGAACTGATAGTCAGTGCAGAACTCGGGGGTCATCCCCGTGCCTGGAACAGAATATTTGTGTATACTGCACATTGTTACAAAATAGTCTTGGGGGAGAGGTCGTGCCTGTGCCTAGTACTGAATATCTGTGCATACTGCACATTGTTACAAAATAGTCTTGGGGGAGAGGTCGTGCCTGTGCCTAGTACTGAATATCTGTGCATACTGCACATTGTTACA